CAACATAAGTTGCATAAAAGTGGGAAATTTAACACGTATGTGTGTGTAGTTTCACTTGTTATTTTTTTTTGGGGATAAATAACCAGGAGTGATCCGTAAGTTGCATAAGTGGGAAAGTTCTGAACACACGTTTTTTTGTTGTCAACATGTATATGTGTGTAGTTTCGTTTGTTTTTTCATAATAATAACGAGGGGTATTCCGTATGAGTAGTTAGTCTTTTAAAAAGTATAAAGCATGTAACTATTTCGACCGGTAAAACGAAAGTGGTTAGTTTCACTTGTTTGTTTCTAAATATATGTATTCAAAAATCTTTTCATTCTCGTTGATGAGAGAATAAATAGAAACCGTTCCACACTTGGGAATAATGATTTTTATATTTACCATCCAGAAAACGACACTTTAGGGTTCTTGAATTTCCTTCTATATATTCTTTCCATTTTTGTTACTATACATACAATCATATATGGTTGACGTTGACTTATATTCTTGACAAAACATTCATTATGAAAGAGACGATCATCATTGCGTGTATATAATGGTAAATCTCTTACACATGCATACACATACGAAATCAAAAGAAGAAATAAATGAAGAGAAGAGGATTTGTTTCTTTGGCAATATTGTTGCTGCTTTTATTATCATCATCACCTCTTGAGACCTCGCGATTCTCGACTTCCCCAATTATTGGTTAGTCAAATTGTCTTGTTTTTCTTATTTTTATAGATTTCTCATTGTTGCAACTCCCAAGTCTCACACAGAAAATATATTTTTATGTTTTTATTCTGAGAGTTTGTGTGATTTCAAGTTGTTACGTATTTCTATTTTGTCACACTCCAACAACTATATTTATCCTTTTTCTCAATCGAAATGCCTTCACTCGATGATCAAACCTAACATATAGTCCGTAAATTAACAAAAATAAAGTGTGAATATATATTAACTGGAATCTAACTGTATTGCAATATTCCGTACTAACAGTAAATTTAAACGTATTGAGAGAAAAGATCCAGGAGTTTTCGATATTCTTGACTGATTCTTATATCTTTTCTAATTATAAGCGTCTCGATAAAGAAGATTATCTCTCTCAAAACAGTTTCAGCCGGCAGAACAGGAAGATGTCTAAGAAGAGTGCAATGGGATTCTCCAGCCACATCTGATCCAGAGAATAGGCAAGTGAAACGGATACTTTTAGTATCTCAAATAAGTAAACATCAGTTTTTATGGAAAACGAATTTTATTAACAGACGAAAAAGGCACGATTTTTGAATCTTGTGCAGGACATTTGGAAACATTGGACCATCCTTGTTTCGACCTACAGAGAGCCATGAAGATTCCAGCGCAGAACGAAGCTGTTCGCCCCATGATGGTATATGGAAGACTAAGACATAAAAAAAAAAAAGCACGGTTACATTTGATCGTATAGTACTTGTCTCTCTTGAGTATTTCGTATGGAACAACTTATGTCTTATACGTCTGATCCACGAACTGTACCACTAAGAACATAATGAATAAGAGAAACTATTGTTGAAGTGAGACCAATTCATTAATTCAATTTGAGAAAACATTTGACAGATTCATCGGCTGATACCAATTCCGCAAACATTTGAGAAAACATCACTTGATTGGATAGTTCAGTTTTTCTCCCATGACTAGTTTATCAATCAATCAATATAAAGAGATAAAGGATTCGCTGGACACTTGGACTAGTGTTAATTAATTTTCGTTTGAAAATATCTGTAAGAATGAAAAACATGACAATGTTCAAACATCTTAAATAACCCCAAAAACCTACTAGTCCCTCATCTTTCTCTATCCTCTGCATGTCTCCTTGTTCGAGATTTCACTTACTGTGTACAATAAAGGACAAGCTGAAATTGGCGGAATTCTCCTCGATACTGCAGAGATTGTCTTTAGAGCCGAAACTACATTTCAAACGGGTTACTAAACTATCTCCTCACGGGTGGCACCCCTCCCCTTCCTCCTGTTCCACGCCCAGGACCCTGAGAGTTAATGACATCGCAAAAATCTGGTTAGTTGCCTTGAATTTCCAAACATGGTCTTCCTCAGAAGTAAATCAGAAATAGAAAAGACTTAAAGCGAGGGTGAACTTA